GCTGAAATACCTGTTTCGAAATGGCTTCTATGTTTATCTCTCCAGAGAGGAATTTTAAAAGCTTCCCTCTGCTCCTCTTTCCCCGGGTTGGGGGAAGGGCCCTGGTAAACCCAGCTGGATCCTTGAAGCAAGCTGCTGCAAGACCAGGCCTCCAGGGGGTCAGTCAACTGGGCTCGGGTGCCCACTTCAGGGGTCTCTTGGCTTAATTCCTTCTTCTCCACCCATCCCACCACCCATGCCCAGGCCTTGGGTTTGAAGTAAATGGACGCCCAGGTCTGCTGAGTCTCTCCCTGGCAGTCCTTGGGGAATTCACTGAATCAGACCAGTTTGAAAAGGGAGGGGGACACTTTCCCCCTACAAACACCACCCACCATGCAGGCTGGAGCCAGGTGTCTGGAGCTGGGGGAGGGGCTGGTGGGCTGTGGGGCTGGAGCCTGTGGGGCTGGGGGAGGGGGTTGGAGGAGGGGATCTGGCTCCACCTGTGGAGGAGGGGCAGGAGTTGCAGCCTCAGGTCAGAGAACTCCAGCACTGCATCAGGGGGAGATGGGGCGTGGCCTCGGCAATAAAGAGGGACATTTGGGGTGCTTGAGAGAAGATGATGGGGAGACGGCATAAATATGAGTATCAAGAAAGGCAGACTGGGGTGAACTGGTGAGAATGATTTAACTGAAATGGGGGCAGCATTTGTGACCCAAGGTTTGACTTAGAAGTTTGGAGGGACAGGTGACTGGAAAGTATGGGAAAGATTCAGTAGATCAGGGAAAAGATGAGTTAAAAAAGTGAAGACATGGATTTGATGGGGCTCAGTGCAAGCGTGGTGTGGTAAAGACAGTGTTTTGGATTTTGACAGAACTGGCTTAGCAGGGAATGGTAGCACACACGTGTAATCTTCCTCAATGGAGAGGCTGAGGCTGAGGCAGGAAGACTGTAGTGAGTTCAAGGCCGTCCAGAGTGAGCCTAGAGACATTAAGAAATCTATCTTGGAGCAAATACCGGGGCTTACCGAAAATACACTGGTATCTGAGATATTGATGCTTTTTGGAGACTGAAAAGGAGATGATGGCTGGGCGGAAGAGATATTTGGAGATGAAGAGAGATTGTATCAGCCAGGCATGATGACATGCCTCTTACCCCTGGCACTCCGGGAGGCTAAGGCAGGAGAATCACAAGTTGCCTCAGCAACTCAGTGAGACCTCCTTGTCTTAAACTTAGAAAAAAATTAAAAGAACTGTGATGTAGCTTAGTGACAGAGTACCCCTGGGTTCAATCCCATGGAGACGAAGATTGGTAAACACTGAGAGCTGAGATTTTGGGAAAGTTTTTGGAGGCTTCAGTGTGAAAGGGGAGGGGTCATGTAAACAGCTGGAGACTCAAGGCTCTGGCCTGGCCTCTTAGTGACCACCTGCTTCGTCGTTTTCTGTGCATACCTAGGTTCCGGGATGAGGACTACACAGTACATGTGCGATTGAATGACTACCTGGACATTATCTGTCCCCATTATGAGGATGACTCTGTGGCAGACACTGCCATGGAGCGGTATACACTGTATCTGGTGGATTACGAGGAGTATGCAGTATGCCAGCCCCAGTCCAAAGACCAGGTCCGCTGGCGGTGCAACCAGCCCAGCGCCAGGCATGGTCCAGAGAAGCTGTCTGAGAAGTTCCAGCGCTTCACACCTTTCACCCTGGGCAAGGAATTCAAGGAAGGACATAGCTACTACTACATCTGTAAGTGCAGCGGAGACAGGCACACAAGGGCTTGCATTGAGGGCACAGCCGCATGATGGCATGGTGCATGTCACCAGGGATACCTGCTTAATGGGGACTCAGGTAGCTCAGGGCCCCTCCTGAGCCTGAATTCTATTTTCATTCATTCACATCACAGATGTGGTGTGAGCTTCTACTGTGTATTGGACGTTCTGCTTGGCAGAATGGGCACAGAGTTAAATAAAACATTTCAGAGCCCGTGAACTAGAGGAAGCTGTGTCACAGGCCATAGAACACAGTGATGTGGTAGACATGAGCATAGTAGCCTTAGAAGAAATGGCCTATGCATTTGCCAATTTAGGAGGCACACAAGAAGCCAAGCAAGGAAATGACCCCAGAGCTTAGGACATGAAGGAAAGCTGGCCAGGTGTGAGGGTACATGTACAAAGGGAACTCCCAGGTGTGGGACACACTCAGCAAGTGGGCAAAGATGAGCTTGGAAGGCAGACAGGACAGATGAGGGAGGCCTAAATACTGCAAAGGAGTTGAGGCTTTACCGTGAGGGCAGCGGAAAGTACTGATGGATTTGAAGCTGCAAGGTCAGCTTTATGTAGAATGGATCCAGGGCTGTCTGTGTGAGGGAGTCTAGGTAGGAGTGGTATAAGATGGCTCAGGTAAAGAGAAACATATATGAATGCCTCACCAAACTCCATGCTTGGAGGTGTGAAGGACAGAAGGGTCTGTCTTCTTCTTTTTTTTTTTGTCTTTTTCCTTTTTATCGGTACCGGGGATCGAACTCACTACTCCCTGCTTGCAAGGCAGGCGCTTATGCCCCTGAGCTAAATCCCCAACCCCCTGTCTTCTTTTTACTACCACTTGCAAACATTAGGGTTGTTCTAGGAAGTGAGTAAGAATCATGATTAGAGACAAGAAAGGAATTCAAATGACTAGGAGGCTAAGAAATCAGGGCCAGTCACATTTGGCCTTAGCTATTTCCAACAAAGGTTCTTTGCTTAATTCTCTGTGGGTTTATCTTACAGCCAAACCCATCTCCCATCAAGAAAACTACTGCTTGAAGTTGAAGGTGACTGTCAATGGCAAGATCAGTGAGTATCAAGTCCTATGAGCCTCCCCTCTATCTCTGTAGTAGACCAGCTCTAGTGACCTGGGAGGGTAGAGAAGTCCCACTGCCCAACCTACACAATGCTCACACCCTCTGCCTCCATGGTAGAATTCCTCATCTACTCTACTCTTTGTCTTTCAGCTCACAGTCCACAGGCCCATGCCAATCCACAAGAGAAAAGACTTCAGTCAGGTAGGTAGCTGAAACCAGTTTGTGTCTGAGACACAGGAAGGGGTCTGTCTGAGAAGGCTGGATACAGGAGGTGGTTCCTTTGCCATTCAGGGACTTGGAAACTCTGCTAGCCTGAAGGTCAGTGCAAAGGGCAAGGTCACTTATCCTGGGGGGCCTTTGTTCTCTCTCCTTGCAGATGACCCGGAAGTGCAGGTTCTACACAGCATTGGTCACAGTGCTGCCCCCCGCCTCTTCCCACTTGCTTGGGTTGTGCTGCTTCTGCCACTGATGCTGCTGCAAACTCAGTGAAGGTGTGCATTACATTAAGAAATGGAACTGGATTAAGTGGCCAGGGATAGACACCTGTTACTTGTCCTACGGTGGGCCCCAAGGCTGCAGCCCTGGGAACTGCTCCCACCACATGCACAAGCTGCCACCCATCAACCTCAAAATGGGCCATATTAAAGGTTTCCACCATCCTGTCAATGCCATCCCCACCCACACTTTAAAGGGATGGAGTAAGAAGTGGGAACAGTCCTTTCCCCACCATTCCTGCCTTTAAACCAAAGAAGCAAGCTATGCAGACATGGTCCCTTGAGAGGACACAGTAAGAGCCAAGCTGGAAAGGGCCTGAGGCCAAGCAGATGGACACTGAGCCTGGTACTAGGTGGGACAAGATGCCGCTCCCAGAGAAAGCCAGCATGCCCAGACGAACTGACTGAAGGAAAGAAGGAACAGTTTCCTGCACAGGAGCCAGGTACAGGAGAGGCAGCATGCTTGGGCTGACCCGGCATCTCACAGCAAGGTTTCCATCTGAAGACCTGCCAGGCACCGCATCCTTTCTCCCATTGTGGGGCAGCACTCCAAAGAGCTGTGCCAGCAGGGGGCTGTGCCAACCTGTTCTTAAGAAGAGCTGTAAGGGCTGTGCCCTTGTGTACAGTCTGCCTAAAGTGTAGCCTACAGGGCAGGGCCCTTGTGTATAGTGTCTGTATATAAACTTGTCGTGTGTCTAATATCCACAACTGGAGATTGTTGTTTTTTTTGTTTTTTTTTTTTTATACAGTGTTCTTTGTCTCAAAATAAAGGAATGTGTTTGGTTTTTTGGACATGTTTTTTTAATGAGCATAGAGTCCCTACTGTGTACTAGGCTCTGCTACATCAGAAACAACTGTTTATTTTTTTATCCAAGAAGTACAAGAAAGTGAAGTGGCTTCTCTCTGAGGGTTGGGCAGGACTGCAGTGCTCCCCAACAGCAGTCTTTCCACACCCCACTATGGAAGTTCTTCCTGTCCAACTTCTGCCCCACTCCCACCCCCTCAGCACTGGGCTTGGCATACCATTCAGGTACTCATGCTGGCTGTCTGCGTGACTCAAGGAAGCCAGAAGCCAGCTGAAACATGTGCCCCGCCCCTCAGCTCCACGCCAGGGGAGCCGTGGGAGGCTGAGAGGGGAAATGCCCAGCAGCAAATAGATGGGACCACGGGGTCAGTGGCAGGGGCTTAAGTGAACTGGGTATGGCTGGCCCTGTGGCTGTAGGAGGACTTCTGGTGAAGGAAGTCTGTAATTCCTGGCAAGACCAATTATTTAGAGGAGTTTGGGAGGAGGCTACAGTGAACTCAAGAGTAGTTTTCCCAAACCCTCCATCACTCAGGTCCTGATTTGGAGCTCTGGACAGCAAGATTTAAGTCCAGGAAGTCTAGCTTTTGAGTCCCACCACGTGTGCCTCTCTGGAATACAAAAGTTGAGGCCGGGGGTTAAATAATCCTAGTACGCAGAGCGAGAGGTGGACTGTGGGAAACACATACACTGAGCCCACTACCGACGCCTGGAGGACCACCTCCCTCTTGGAAAGGCCCAGCAGCCCCTAGTCGACCAGCGGGACCGGCGTCAGGAGGGGCGGGGCCTGAGTTCCGGCTCTGCGTTCTAGGAGAGGGCGGGTTTCCGGGGGGGAGGGGACGGCGCGGGGGCCGGCGCACGCCTGGCAAGGCTTTAGCGTCGGTGGCTCGTAGGCTGAGCTGTCCCGCGCCCGGGATCCGATTCGGGCAGGATGGAGACGAGCAGCGTGGCCGACTCGCTCCTTTCCGGAGCTTGCGTGGTCTTCACCCTTGGCATGTTCTCCACCGGCCTGTGAGAGCACAGCCCGGGTGGGCTGGGGCAGGACCAAGAAGTCAGGAAAGGAGAGCGAACGGCCATGCTCCCAGGCTGCATCCGGAACCCGCGGTCAACAATGGAATCGGGTCGAGGGGATTGGGATGCAAGGGCGAGCCTGGCTGCTCCGCCTGAGGGAGAAGGCAGGGGACCAGGGGGTGGGTTCTACGATCATATGGGGAGGATAATAAGCATCGGGGACCAACCACTCACCTGGCACCCCTCCCTTTGGGGCCCCATTACAGCTCGGACCTCAGGCACATGCAGATGACCCAGAGCGTGGACAGCGTCCAGTTCCTGCCCTTTCTTACCACGGATGTCAAGTGAGAGGGACGAGGGCTGCGGCGGTAAAGGCTGCTGGGGAGGTGGGGAGGAGTTGGAGGAAGATGAAGAGGCCTGTGGAAATCTGCTGCACTCAGCCCAGCATCTCAATTCCGCCCCTCCTCCCTGCAGCAACCTGGGCTGGCTGAGTTATGGGGTCTTGAAGGGAGACGGGACGCTCATCATTGTCAACGCCATAGGTGCTGTGCTTCAGACCCTGTATATCCTGGCCTATCTTCACTACTGCCCGCAGAAGGTAGAGGCCCTCCCTTGGACCCACCTCTGCTGCGTGCCCTGCCTTGTTGGCAGGGCAAACATTACTTCCTAGAACACTTAACAGGCTGGCACAGTCATCTTTTCCTAGAAGGCCCTCCAGTCTTCAGTTTCCTTTCTTTTGAAGCCCGTCTTCTGAAGCTCACACATTGCTCCCCACCCTAGCAAGGCTGGTAGCACTGCTTGGCCTGGTGATGCCTGTGCTGCCCTTAGCTTCCCTCTAGCATGCTGAAGAGAAAAGGGTTTTGTTTCTAGTTCCCTCAGGGCCATTAGCTGAGAATGAGGTGATTAGCTCTGATTCCCCACTCTTCACACAAGCATTTATTTATTAGAATCCTACAGTGTATGCCAAACTCAGAACACAGAAAAAAAAAATACCTTTCTCTCTCACAGAGGCCTTCAGTGCTGTGGCATAGGACTATTTCATTAAGTCACTGGGGGAGGGGGGGACTGTGACAAGTGCAATACTAAAAACAAAGGCAGGCTTCCCAGTGGAGAGTATGGGAGAGGGCAGGATGAATTAATTCCAGCAGGGAGATCAGACTGTGCTCCGGGCACACCTAGAAGAGACCCTCTCTCCCCTGCAGCGTGTAGTGCTCCTACAGACTGCAACCCTGCTGGGGGTCCTTCTCATGGGTTATGGCTACTTTTGGCTCCTGATGCCTGATGATGAGGCCCGGCTTCAGCAGCTCGGCCTCTTCTGCAGTGTCTTCACCATCAGCATGTATCTCTCACCACTGGCTGACTTGGTGAGTGGGGTGTCCAGGAGGTTGGGAGTTAAGGGCCAGACTCCTGTGACCAGAGAATGTGACTTACACCCCAGAGGAAAGGAAACTGTAGATCCTGGTAGACCAGGCAGTGGAGGTTGGTAAGTGGGAAGCAGAAGGGTTGGGTAACAGACCAGGGAGGATGTTTGACCTTTTTCCTAAGAGTCTTCTTAGGCAACCTGGGAACTTTCCTATGTGCCTGGTCCAGTGTCTTTAATCCTTTCTCACAGGCCAAGGTCATTCAAACTAAATCAACCCATCGTCTCTCCTTCTCACTCACCATTGCCACCCTGCTTACCTCTGCCTCTTGGTCCCTCTATGGGTTTCGACTCAGAGATTTCTACATCATGGTAAGCAAGATATAAATAGGGTGGTAAGTTTGCAAAGTGAAAACTGACTCCTGTCATTTTTTTTTCTTTTGAGACAGGGTCTTGATATGTAGTTCTGGCTAGTCCTTTTTTTTTCCTTCTTTTGAGACAGTGTCTCAATATGTAGTTCACGCTAACTTTGAACTCACTATGTAGCCCATGCTGGCCTTGAACTCATGACAATCCTGTCTCAGCCTCCTAAGTGCTGGGATTACAGGCACATGCTCTTTTTCTTTATTCTGAACATGGTCTCATGGTTCAGGATGGCCTTGAACTTGCAGCAATCCTCCTGCCTCACCTCCCCCAAGAGCTGAGATTACAGGCATGAGCTACCACACATGTCTTTTTTTTTTTTTTTTTTTTTTTTTTGGTGCCAGGGATCGACCTCACGACTTCGAGTTTGCCAAGCAGGCACTTACGCCACTGAGCTAAACCCCTGGCCTACCACACATGTCTTATAGCAACCCTTTTATTGCAGGTCCCCAACCTTCCAGGAATCCTTACCAGCTTTATTCGCCTCTGGCTTTTCTGGAAGTACCCCCCACAGCAAGACAAGAATTATCGGCTTCTGCAAACCTGAAGCAGCTCATCTGACCACTAGGCACCCTAATGCCAACTTGATACCAAAGAGTTCCTTGTTTCAGCTGGTCTTGGTGACCTGCTCCATGGGTGCAGTGGGTTGTGGGAAAGATAACTTTGAGATTAGAGGGTTCAAAAAATGAGCTTCACTCAGAAGACTGGATGGAATCTATGACATGAAATCACTTATTTGCTTGAGAGATTATCTTTTTTAATTTTGGAGGTTGGGGTGATATCTTTATACTGTGCCTTAAAATAAACTGTTCCCCACCCCTGCCAATCACAGTTTATTCTTTATTCATGATTCTCAACCTGCCTAGTTTGGTGAAGGGTAAATCTAGCTATTCTCAGGTAGAGTTGGCGTAGAAAAGATACCTGAAAAAAACCAAGAGATTGAAAAGACCTGAGAAGGCCTTAAAAGCTCTGAGCTAGGGGTGTTGGCGCACAACTATAACCCCAGTCCTCTGGCAGACTGAGGCAGACAGAGCATCATAAATTCAAACCCAACTTGGGTAATTTAGTGACTTAGCAAGACTCTGTCTCAAAATAAAAAATATTAAAGGGTGTGGAAAGCCCTAGGTTCAAGCCTTAGTAGCAACATTTTTTAATTCTTTTTTTTTTTTTAAATCAGAGTTTGGGAGCCTGGGATGTAGCTCAGTCACACAACACTAAGATTTTTTTTTTGGCGATACCAGGGATTGAACTCACGACTTCAGGCCTGCCAGGCAGACAGGCCACTGAGCCAAATTCCCAGCCCCCCAAATCGTATTTTGTAAATTATAAAGAATGAAAGTTAGGTTTAAGATGTACTTCCTTAAAAAAAAAAAAGTACTTCCTTGAGTTTGATTTCCTGGTACTGAAGGAAAAAAACTTAAAAAAAAAAAAAAAAAAAAAAACTTCCTGATGGGATTAAAACGACCAGGAAAGTGAAATAATATTTACATCCCCAGAAGTTTGAGAAAGTGTCTTTGCGTCCTCTAAAACAAAAATGGGAACAAAGATAAATACCGATAACTAGGATGGTAACTTTTCCACCTCTCACTTCACAACCGCTGGCACAGAGTCCCCAACCCCTACTCTCCACAAAAACTGGACGAGGTTAGAAAACAACCTTGCTTTTTAATCGGGACGGGAGGGAGACTGTCGCGAGCAGGGATAGGGTGTCAGAAACGCAGTCCCCTGCGGGCTAAGTCCGCTCGGGCCTCCTGGATCTGATTCTGCAGCTCCAGGGCGGCGTCCTCGCAGTCGTGAAACGTGGCTACGCGATAGCCCACAGTGCCCAAAGCATAGCAGCCAGCGGCCACCAGCAGGTAGGCAGGCAGTGGCCACAGGACTTCCCGGCAGGGTGAGGGTAACTCCAAGCCCAGAGCTCCCACAGTCAGGGCTGCCCAGGCAGAGCCCAAGAGCGCAAGTGCCCAAAGCCACTGCGCCAGTTTCGTCATGGTCACTGCAGGGAGAAAAAACGATGCTCAGGGTCCCTTCCATTCTGGTAACCCACTCTAACTTTGAGAACCATGCCCATCGCTTCCCATCCACCCACCTCACCCTCAATGTGTCCCTTCAACCCACTGGTACCTCCCAGGCTGCTCCTCTGTAGCGCGGCCCGGCCGAAACCCAGCGCCCGGAAGTCCTACGCGCGGCCCTCTGGGAGTTGTAGTTCTCAGAGGCCTTCTGGGAGTTGTGGTTCTGGGCCGTGCTGTCTGTGGGCACTCGGACCCTGGAGTGGTTCAGCTGTCTTGTTTAGCAAATGGCCGGCTGCGTCTGTTGGGGCCCAGGCGCCACAACCCTCCTTGAAACTCCCACTCCAAGCTGGTGGCAGAGCTCGTAGAAAGGCTGAGACTACCGTAAATGTAACCTTGCAACAAAGTGGGAATATAAAATCGTCCTTAAGTTCAGTCCTCCTGCGCACTGAATACAAGGCTAGCCTACAGAGCAAACAAGACCCTGTCTTAAAACAAAAGAAATAATAATAAAATGTTAAGAAAGAAAAAAATTTTTGAGACCAGAGAAATTATCTGTTTGATGTATTATCAAGTGAAGGTGCATACTTCTTTCAAAGAGTATGCAGAATGAATTCATGATTGATGCCTAGAAAAATCAAATAAAAGGTTAGGCAGCTGGGTGTGTTAACACAGGCCTGCAGTTCTGTCATTTGGCAAAGCTGAGACAAAAAGATCCAAACCTCGAGGTTAGCTGGGGATATAGCTCAGCAGCATGGCTCCTGCCTGGCAAGTGCAAGGTCCTGAGTTCAATTCCCGGTACAAAAAAAAAAGTTTGAGGCCAACCTGGGCAATCTGGCAATTTAGCAAGGACATGTCTAAAGAAAGAAAAAAGTGGGAATGTAGCTTGGATTCAGTCCCCAGTACTAGACTGACATGACAGTATACATCTGTGATCGCAGCACTCAGGATTAAAACTAGACTCATATCTTTCACTATGCACTAAACTAAAATCGAAATGGATCAATGATCTAAATATAAAGTGGAAGCACTAAATCTACTGGAAGATAAAATAGGTAGGATTCTTGAAGACACTGGCATAGGCAAAGACCTTATGAACAAAACCTGGATCATACAGAAAATTTCACCGAGTCAACACTTGGAATCTCTTCTTATTAAAAAGCTTTTACACTACCAACAGAGTGAAGATGTAATGCACAGTACAGGAAAAAATTTTGCCAACTATTCCTCAGACAAAGGATTAATATCTAAAATATATAAAGAACTAAAAAAAAAAATCAGATCCTGTGGATGGAGGGGGGCTTTTTCCTTTTTATCGGTACCAGGGATCAAACTCAGGACCACACACTTGCAAGGGAGGCACTTATGCCACTGAGCTAAATCCCCAGCCCTGATCCTGTGGATTTAAAGATCCAATCCAAAACTGGACATCTGAAGTGAATCCACACTTTTCAGATGAAGTATGTGGCAAATAAATATTTGAAAAACTGTTCAACATCTCTGGTCATTCAAGAGATGCAAATTTTTAAAATGCTAAGATTCCATCTCCAGAAAAATGGCTATTATCAAGAAGTCAACCTGTTGATGGGAGTGTAAACTGAAACAATCGCTGTGGAAATTAGTGTGAAAATTCCTCAAAAAAATTAAAACTATTTCCATATGATCTAGCTATTTCCTTTCTTGGTTTTTTACCAAAAGAACTAAAAGCATCATAACACAGCAATATATGCACACTCATGTTTATAGTGGCACAATCTATAATAGCTAAATCTTGGAAACAGCCCAAATGCCCAACTGATGAATGGATAAAGATGTGATTTTTTTTTGCGACTTTTTTAAAAATCGGTACCAGGGATCAAACTCACAACCATATGTTTGCAAGGCAGGTGCTTATGCCACTGAGCTAAATCCCTAGCCCCTCAACATGTGATTTTTTTATACAATGGAGTACCACTCTGCCATAAAGAAGGATATACCTGAGACATTTCTAGCTAAATAAATGCACCTTGAGACCATATGCTTAAGTGAAATAAATTGGACACATGCGTTTAAATAATGAATTGTTTCTCTGGTGTAAGAAACAGAAAGTGTAAATAAGGACCAAAATGCATAACAAATATTGGGATATAGGAAGAAAATGTTCAAATGAGGAGGGAAACAGGGAGAGGGAGGGGGAAAGGAAGCAAGGGAGAAGAAAAAACAATAGAAGGGAAAAGGGGAACAAAGCTTTTGTAAAGGAAGGGAAAAAGTGTTGAAGGAAAGGGAGGGGAATGGGAAAAAGGCAACATATAATATGTACAGGTACAAATTTCCTATAATGAATATTATTGCTATGTATATCTAAAATATACCAGTAAAATTGGAATTTGTGTGTCATATGCATGTCAGTGAACTGATTGTGTCAATATGAGTAAGAAATTCCCCATAGTAACAAATTCAGCATAGTTCTGGGCGTGGCTGAGATTTACCGGAGATTTGCTAGGATTTACTGGGTGTGAGTGACAGCAACCAATAGGCTTGCTGCCTCAGTGAAATAACTGGGAAACAAAAGATTCTTGCTGTTTCTTCAGGGGAGCTCCAGTCTTCACTTTTACCTTGGATGCTATTCTTTGGCTCCTAGCACTGATCTCTCAGCCCCTAGCATAGACCCATCAATCAGCCTTCCATCGCAGACCTCTCAGCCTCCTGATATGAACTCCTAAGGGACAGCATAGTGAGCTTCAGATATTTAACTGGGTCCTTTGGATCTCCAGCACATAGATCTTTTGCACTCTTCCACACCTGTCTCTGTGGGAAGCCATTGTAAACCAATCTTATAAATTCGTATATATTAGTGGTACACATGTTGCATCTAGTGGTACATGTGTTGCAACATGTGCAACACATGTTGCACTAAATGTGTTTCTCTTGTAAGCATTGATTAATACAGATTTGGGTACTGAGAGTGGGGTCAATGCTGTGATACTACCTGACCATGTGATTAACTGGCTTGTAGAAAGAGTTTGGAAAGATTTGGAAATGCCACTTGCAGATGCTTTACATTTACTTAATAGGAAATCCTGGTCAGAGGTCAGAAGACCAGAATGCTGACAGAAGTGCAGCCTGGGCCAGAGATATAGCTTAGTGGCTCAGTGCCTGCCTGGCAAGTGTGAAGTTGTGAGTTCAATTCCCAGTACAAAAAAAAAAAAAAAGTGCAGCCTGTAAAGACCAGATTCTAGAGGTTTCAGCTAGGAACAAAAACTTCATTGGGACCTCAGACATGTGTGTTAACCTTTTGCAGAAAATTTATCTGCATTTTGCTTATGTCCAGAAACTTTGCCTGAGACTAAGGTTAAAAACAGATGACTAGGGGCTGGGGATTTAGCTCAGCAGCATAAGCTCCTGCCTTGTAAAGCAGGCAGTCGTGAGTTCGATCCCCAGTACCGATAAAAAGGAAAAAGACAAAAAAAAAAAAAAACCAGATGACTAATTAATCTTATGGAAGAAACTTCAAAACAGTATAATGTTGCTGGGCATGGTGGCACACCCCTGTAATCCCAGCACTTGTGAGGCCGAGGCAGGAATATCACCACAAATTCAAGACCAGCCTGAACTATATAGCAAGACCCTGTCTCAAAAAAAAAAAAAGTCTAATGTTGAAGCAGTGGTATGTCTATGGTTGGGGGTTTTTATAGCCAGATATATATTGAGTATCAAGAACAAAGGGTACAGCAGAATGATTGAAAACATTTTGATTTTGACCAGAAAGGAAGCACCAATAAAGTTGCAGTCTGCAAAGATGAAACAGAGAATTTGATTGCTAAAGAGATTAGCCATAAAACACCAAGTGTTTCAGAAGAGGACAATAGAAAAGATGGCCCAGGAACAAAACAAGAGCTGGCAGGGCTCTTTTTTTTTTTTTTTTTTTTTTGTACATGGAAATTGAATTCACAACTTTGTGTTTGCCAGGCAGGCGCTTATGCCACTGATGTGAGTTCAACCTCCTGCCCAGGACTCCACATTTTTTTGTTTTGTTTTGTTTTTGTTTTTGGTACTGGGATGGAACTCGCAACCTTGCCCTTGCCAGGCAGGCACTTAAGCCACTGAGCTAAATCCCTGGCCCTAGGCCTCCACATTTTGCAGCCTCAAAATTGCAAAGGTGCTTGGAATATAGCTCAGTGGTATAAATGTTTGGCAAGTGCAAAATCATGAGTTTGATTCTCAGTACCAAGAAAAAAAATTGTGAGTGAGAATTAGGACCAGGGATTTAGTTCAGTGGCATGAGTGCCTGCTTGGCAAGTGTGAGGTTGTGAGTTCAATTTCCAGTACCAAAAAAAAAAAAAAAAAAATGCAAAGGTGAAAAACTGCTTTGAGAAGAGAGCTCCAGGCTACCATGTTCCAGAATAGTGGCAGCCTAGAGAATAAATTCCTTCAGATTGAGTTCAAAGTGTTCCCCAATCCAGGTACTCCACCCCTTTAGCCAACAGAGACAGAAACCTGGCTATTGCTCCACCTGGTGGCAGACACTGGTGTTATCTACATAATGCTGGTTTTAGGTGCATGCAGAATGCAAGAGTTGTGGAATCAGGAAGGCTTCCACTCAGATTTCAGAAGAAGGCCTGGGAGGCCAGGCAGGGTGTGCTAGTGAGACAGCACTTAGTGAAACTGTGAGTATAAAGTAGAAGATGCAGTGGACACCCCAGATGGTTGGAAAAACCAGGGACGTGAATCCTCAGAAAAGCTGCATGGAATGCATAAAGCCAACCCAGGGAGAGCCATGGGTGCTACAAACATTGGCAGTGCTTTAGGGGCTGAGCCACCCAAGCCCCTTGGAGTTCATCTCTTGCACAGATTTCCCAAGTTTCTGGAGATGGAACTGTGGGACTTCATGTTTTCCCTGCTGGATTTTGGATGTGCTTTGGTTGCATTCCTTCCTATCCCCCTATTTGGAATGGAATCTATGTTGTGCAATTGAATATTGGAAGTGCTTAACTATTTTCATTTATACAGAGGCCCACAACTAAGAGTTTGCCTTAAATCTCAGAAGAGACTTTGGACTTGGACTCCATAGCAATGCTGAAACTATTAGAATTTTGGCAACTCTTTGAGATGGGCTAAATACCTTTTGCATAAAGGATGTGCAAGCATCTTTTAAGGACCAGGGGAAGAACGTTATGGCTTGTATCTAGATGTTTCCCAAAGCCTGATGCACTCACAGATGGGGCATTTTGGAAATGGCTGGATCCAGGGATTAACAGTGTGAGGCCACCCCTGATGTGGGTGGCACCAATAA